TATAGTCTGTGCTAGGCGTGTGGTCTTGGTAGTCGGCTAGCGTGTGTGGCTAATTGTGGTTTTTCCTTCTTCCTCCAGGAAAGTCGAGCGAAGAAGCGAGTTGGGGAGCACACAAACTAAGGGAGCTACAGCACGGGACGCACTGGGAGCATGGGATGAGCACCATTGGCAAATTACATCTCTGAGTTAATTGTTGGACTTACCTGTCTATTCACTGTAATTAAAGTGCACTGTGGCATCGCAGAGTCCTGCGTTTTGGGTCCTACTTTCCTCATCCCCACGGTCTGCCAGCCAGACCGTGACAGAATAATAGTCGACACAGACCCCAAATAATAGTCGTAATAATAATAATAACAACAACAACAATAATAACCACTGCTCACGGACCCCTGAGTCCTCCAGAGCCGGGTCCGTGACAGATAAATACAGATGCAAACAAAGAAATGGTTAAATTGAACAGTAAAGGTTGTGGGTGTACACAAACACACAACACAAAAAATACTTCTATTGTCACTAAGATAAAATATAACTAACTTACAATAATTATGCTGTGCAATCAAGTGTGGAGCATCTTTTTTCTTGCCATAACCCCGGGCTTCAAGTCCATCCCTCCAGAATCATGGCAGCTGTGGTTTGGCAGTACCAATGGGCAAAGTACTGCTGGTGTGTGGTAGGGTCCCTCTCCTGCTGACACTGTTTACACATGATTGTATTAGTCTTCCTTACACAACTCCTCTTCGTTTACCCAATGTGTTTCTCATCCTTTATTTCCTTTTATAAAACTGCTAGGTGGTGTGAGGCACATCTACCAGCAAAGCACATGCAGGTTGGTGAGGAAGAGAACAGGAGGAAGGAAGTGTAGTTTATGGTACTGGCAGGAGAGGTTGTGGAGCTGGGTGGGTTCAAGAACCAGAAAATGACAGCAAGGAAATGGAGCCAGTTGCTGGGGTCCCTTATACTCCTCACAGAGTTTGACAAAAAGGGCTTCACACACACGAGTAGAGTCAGGCCACTGTGCTGGGCATCTGCAATTGTAATAAAACCCATGAAAATGTTAATGCTGTCAATGTCAGCCCAGGACCCTTTAGGAAAAAAGAGTGTAATTTCTTTGTTGAATAAAGGTTCGTATTATTAAGAGGCATCAGTGTACAAAGTATTTATACAATAGCTTAATGTCATATTCTACAAATTACAAGCATTGTTTTGTACTCTCCAAGTGAAACAGTGATGTTTGTGGCCCTGAATCTCCATTTGGGAAGTTGAGTTGTGTCATTGATGGTATATGGTTCATTTCTTCTCATATTCAGACAAACACTCACATACATAAATTATATCAACACACTCCTTTTGACAAGACAAGACTGTAGTATTTTAATTTAAATAAATCTGTCATATTCTGTACTGCTTTGCATCCTTGAATATTATCTGGTCCTACTGAGCCCCAAAATATAAAAAAAGCAGAGAAAACAATGTCAATCTGAAGGCATTACAGAGGGAAAAAGAAGAGATTGATGAAAAATGGAAACGTACATCATGACTGGCCAAGCCTGAAGATGTTAAAAACTGTTCATCAGTTTTTAACATCATCAGGTGGCTGTTTCCTGCCAATGAGCTAAACAAAAAAAGGAAAGAAAGAGAACATACTTATGTTTACTACTAATAAATCACTGGATGTTATCAAATAAAATGACAATTGCGTAATAATAACAGGACATCAAAAACTTAAAATTTGGAAGCTTTGGTTTATTACTGTGCTAAATTAATTAAATAAAGACATTGACTCACACAACATCTGAGACACTGATGTAGTAAACCTATGTTTTCTCTTGTCAATACGGCAATTCTATTATTTTATTTAATCAAAGCTACAGGTTGGATGATGTCATTTCCAATCAGCAACGGAAGCTAACAAATATATATAACATATATGATAACAGACCGTCACTGTTCACCGGACATTGAATATCTGACTGTCAAATGCAGGCCCATCTACCTACCTAGGGAGTTCACCGTTGTCATAATAAAAGCTGTTTACATACCACCAGATGCTAATGCTAATTCGGCGATCACACTTCTGCACGCAAACATCAATAATAAACAGAGCATTTACCCTGATGCTGTACATATCGTAGCAGGCGACTTCAATCACGCAGACTTAAAAACAGCAATCACCAAACTCCACCAGCACATCAAGTGTGCCGCCAGGGGTGACAAGATTCTGGAAAAAGTTTATTCCAACATCAAAATGGGCTACAGGGCCAGACCTCTGCCACATCTGGGTCAGTCTGACCACTTGTCACTGTTGCTAATACCTGCATATGCCCCTCTCAAGAAAACTGCTCCTATCATCACAAAGAATATTACCATATGGCCATAGGGTGCCTCTCAGCAGCTGCAGGACTGTTTTGACAGGACTAAATGGGATATCTTTGAACATCAGGACCTGGAAATGTTCACATACAGTGTTCTCTGCTACATAAAACACTGCATAGACACTGTTACAGTAGACAAATGTATCCAGGCTTATCCCAACCAAAAGCCCTGGATGACCCGGGAGGTCAAACAGCTGCTGAAGGAGAGGAACATCGCGTTCAGGTCTGGCAACAGGGACCACTACACCGCAGCACGATCCAACCAGAAGAGATGCATCAGAGAGGCGAAGGTGGACTATAGGAGGAGGAGAACCATCTGGAGAGTAACAACAGCCGGCAGGTGTGGCAGGGCATCCAGCATGAATCTTAACAAGTGGTACTTTCCCCGGATGGGCAGAGCTCCTAACTCTGCCTGACGCTTTTCTGTGGCACAAAAGCACTATGGTCTCGCTGTAGGAGGTAGGGTGCTGTCCCGCTGCTAACTAATCCTCTGGCCTCAAGCTAGTCCAGCAACAGCACAGCTCTCGCTGACTCTCCACGCACTGGCCGTTGTATGTCCTCGCCGCGTACTGGTAGACCAACCCGCACCAACGCCGTGCTCTGCTTGTGGCCGCCACTGCCTGCCACTATCTACTTCTCAATCTCTGCTGCTCTCCTGCTCCTGACCAGCCAGGCCCTCTTATTGGGCCTATGTGACCTCCCAGGTGTGCCAAGTTGTAATCAGGGAGGGGTGGAGTCTCTCCAGGACAAGTCAACAATAAATACAATAAAAGCATGCAATAAAACAAAAATAAAACACTATAGAATATTAAAATATTAACAATAATGCAACACAGCAACTCATGTCCGAAAAAAATCTAGTTAACTTGTCCATTTCCACCCCACCAGGGTGGTGGAAGAGCACGAGGTGAGGCGTACGCTGAGGGCCGTTAACTCGAGGAAGGTGGCGGGTCCTAATAGCTAAGCGAACATTGCCAGTGTACAATTTAACTGAGAATATCCACGGGCTCCACCGAGCCCCATGAGAACATAAGATGTAAAGTACGCTTCTGCGCCAAATAATCCCAGGGAAGTGAGGCCTCTCACTTCTTCCCCTTTTCTTTGTTCTTCCTCCTTTCTTCTCTTTAGCCTTTCTCCTTTGAGTTTCTTACACATCTTGTTGGT